GGGGAAAGTAATTGTAATTTGTGTTAGCCACAATTATCTTTCAAATAATGTAACATAGTATTTAATGTGATTAGTTATTTATAAAGTATTTGATATGAGTATTATATATATGCCAAAAAATGATATGGTAGAAACATTTTCATGTTAAATATGTTAAAAACACTTGTTTAGCAAAGTCTCAGTGAGTTGATCAAAGTCACAAAGAATACTTAATTTCCAAAGGACTGGAGATCTGTCTGGAGAACGTTTCTTAGCATTAACATAGGTAAAGCAAGAAGGCAGTGTCGCAGTCATGCAGCGCATATTAAAGAAACAAAACAATGTATTTTATCTGTGTTGTATATGACCCATATCATACGTGACATGGTGCGATGACTCACACATCGTGTATAGCCATCGTACAAATATGTATACTACACATGGTGTTTATGTTGCATGGAACTGTGCCACTTTCGTAGTTTGCATTCACCCTGTTAAGTTTCGCATGACTTATTTATTGAATGTTTGGTTTTATTTTCATCTTGCAGGACTGAGTTGTTCCATTCATTGTTTGGAAAAAAATCATCATCAGTTGAAGAAGATCTCAGATAATGAAGTCATGATGATTAACAAATTAAATTTGAAATAATTTGAATAAAAAAAAATGCCTGAAGTATTTTTTGTTTGTTTGTTTGTTTGTTTGTCATTATGGTATATGTGGTATATTCTGTGTGGAAACAAATCTTCCAAGGTTTTTTTTTTACTTCGTTGTTCATTTGTTTGATGTGTTTGGATGAACAGTATCATCACATGGTCATCTAAATACCAGGATGTATGACCTCAGAGGGTCATCAATATACCATGATACCTGACCTCACAGGGTCATCAAAGTACCAGGATGCCAGACCTTAGTCATTTAAATACCAGGATGTGTGATTTCACAGGTCATCAAAGTACCAGGATGTGTGACCTCACAGGGTCATTTAAATACCAGGATGTGTGACCTCACAGGGTCATCAAAGTACCAGTGTCAAGGTGCCCATTGCCCAAACATGTGACAGAGGTTTCAAAATACAGTGTTTCCATGTAGGGGTGATTCAGTTAAGGATGTGATTATCTAAACAGATTTTTTCATATAAAATATTTACTGAGCCTTACAAAGCTATATATTAATGGAAATTGGATGGATATTTTGCATATCCACGTGTATAGTCACATCGTCTCTGTGTAAACATAGAAAGCCATTTGCTGTAAAAATTAAATGAACCAATGATATTTAGTGGAACGAAATAGTTTTTCAGACGATACTTACCACCATTTTGTTGTGTTTAAGATAATTATCTACATAGTACATGTAGTTGGGGGAAAAATAACTTTGCTATCTTGAAAAAAAAAAAGTGATTGGTTGTTTATGGTACTCAGAAATCAGAATGCCATTTTGAAACAAGGCAGAAAATGGGGAAATTTCCAAGCCAGTTGAGAAGGAAGTATGTCAAAGAGTGTGAAGAAAATACTTGGATCAATTGTCTGTAGTTACCATGAATTGCTTTTTTGTTAACTGAGAAAAAAGCAAAAACAACTTAGCAGCTAAATATCAGCTAACTCTAAATATGTTTATTCCTTGGTTCATTACGACATGACATCTGTCAAATCAATTCGTGTGACAAAAGCCACATACCGTATGCATTATTGATTCATTGTTGAAGATGCTTCTTTTTGCAATCAGATTAAAATAAGACACTAGTTTGGGCTTATTATTTTTTTTAATGTATTATTTTAATTTATTTGCTGGTAAATGAAATGCTAAATGTACGTAATATTAAAATATAGTGAAAAAATTAATAAAATGCATGACCTTCAAATACATCCTGTACAATACATAGATGGCTCTGTTCTGTAGAATACTATATTCTCACTTGGTATTTAGTATTATTATTATAAATTAAAAAAGAATTTCATGGGCAAACAAGTAAATAAAAAAGGTGTGTCACTGCACAGTTTTTGCATCTTGGATTAGTTGCAGTTTGCATTTATAGAAGTGTATTTTACCAAGAATGAGAAGATGAATTGTGGTTTGAGACAATTCTTTTCAACCGAGTATTATATCCTGAACACTTGGGAGACCATCTGTTGAAATGCATTCTGGGAACCACCTCAAGAATTTTGTCCAGAAATTACGGGAGAAGGTACAATGATATATAAATGATACATTTTCAATTTTACAAAAAGTACACGAAGGGTTGTCAAGCAGTGGAGAATTAAATTTAAAGAGATCTGAATTAAAGTACAATAAGAAAATTATATTTTAATGATCTAGCAAATAATTCTTTTTTCGGGGTTTCTGTGGGCTTCTATTGAGGATGTGCTTCTAATAAAACAAATATGATTTATGGAGTAAACACAACCAAGGTTCTTGTGATAAGTTAATCGAAAGAAAGTATTTCATGTTAGCATCTTGATTGGTAAAAAAAAAATCATTAAAAATTAAATGCATTTTCTTTGTATAGTTTTAGTGGAAACCACTTTTCAGCTGACTGAAAAAAATGACAGATTTTTCTGGCTCCAAAATTGTATAGTTGCCCAGTTTTTCCTTTTTTTCTCATTTTACAATATTTTGATTTTTTTTAAATATTTTTGATGTATACATGTCATAGTAATTACAGTTTCTAGGTGTGGCAACAATTGTGACAACAGATGGCACTTCTGATTCACGTCAGTGTACCAGATACCTCTCAGGTATATATGCAAATTAGCAATGGTATGCCCATATATAGACTTTGTGATGGCAAGCTGAAATCTTCAATAATAATGTTTCATTTTAGAATACAAGTGCATATTATCAAGCCACCTTGAATTTACAAGGTTGTTTGTTTAAAAGGATAATTTGAAAGCAATTTTAAATGTACCCAATTTCTGATTCATGTACCTCCAATACTCACAGGAGTTTTTTCTAAGCTTTCTTCGATTTTTCATTTGTATTTACGTTTGTATTGTAATTTATTTCAACTTCGAATGTGTTTGCATGTGTAGCTATTTAAAATATATATAGCCATATACTTTCTTTGATACTTCTATTATAATTATTGCATGTTCATGTTTATTAATTTAACTTTATTAGAGGGTCGACTTGGGGTATTTTTATAAGCTGTTATCAATTATTTTTATTTTTGTAATAATGTAATTTAAATAAAATAAATAAATAAAAGGTGAAAAATGTAATCAGCTATTTTATTCGTCCGTAATTTTATTCTTTATAAGCGTATAAAGCATTTTCTACATTAAATGTCTCAATTCGTACGTAATTTCTAATTTTTATTCTTAAACACAAATTATCAAAAATAATATAAAAATATAAAATGTGATTAGGAATTAGCTTTATCTGTAAAGTGTAAAAACCTATTTTTTACTGTAAATAGAACTTTCATTTATTTCCTGTAAAAACGTAAAATGCCGTTTTTATTTCCTGTAACCTGTACCAGTTACCCTCCCCCCTTGCCCACCCCCTTTATTAATTTAACTTTATTACTCAGAGACTAAAAAGATTGTAATTTCTTTTCACACTTGAGGGCGCCACTCTGAGAGATTGAACCAACAGTAGTTATCCTACGAGTGTGGGAAAAATGCTACATGACATGACATGACATGAACCAAGAATTAATGGTTTGAAAATTATGTTCTAGTCTGTATGCTAGCTTGCTGCGTTCGCTGCAATTTAATATCGAAATTGATGTCAAAACTTTACAAGCAAACTTCCATCCAATCCCTGTTTACTCGTCTGTGCTCAAAACAAAGCCAGACGATGATTGGATTATAACGCAGCCGAACAATGGAATTATTGTAGAATGAATGTTTTCATTTCCATCGTCATCATCAATATCACTCATTCATACATTCAACATTTCGTCAAAAATATAATTTTAACCGCACATTGTAAATATCAGCCCCATTCTTCCCCCTTCCCAGGAAAAAAATAGCCTCTATAAAAACCCGTATTGGAACATGCAGCTAAGGATGGTATGATGTCAAAGTCGTAGAGCCTAATGCAATTATCTAGACGCAAATTCGTTCATTTAAGAATCAGTGTATTAACCTAACGTTTAAAATTAACGTTTTCAAATTTGTATATGTAAAATAAAATTTAATCATGAAAGGGTTTATCAATAGAAATTTATTTTACATGTTGCATTGATGTGAGCATTTCTTACCGATAGGGAACTGATAATAATTCAATGACTTCATTCACGTACCGTGGACCCACCCATTCTGTTCAACTCAACTCAGTGGTTAATGTTCAGCTAGCATTCCTGGTACAAGATGGCGGATTTGTCGGATGATGAACTGTGCGAAAAGTATGGTATTACTTTGGACACCCTCGATGAAATTAAGACTCAATTTCAGGAGGTTAGTAATTTTATCTAAAAGCCCAATTGCTTACTGTGTCGTGTTTAACTTCTAATCGGGAATTGTTGGCTGAACAGTGGCTATGTGTCAACCTCGTCTCGCCCTCACCTCACGCAAGACCGGTCGGTATAAAAACTCGGCTTCTCGAAAGAGCACTTGCACTAAAACTGCGGGGCGCCTTTTGTATAAACATAGTGCGCACATCGTTGATTTGCGTGCATAGTAGAGGTTCTTTCGTACTATGACATTTTCACAAAATCATTTTATACATTTTATATTTCTACGACTCCCGAGAAAGTCTGTTATATTGTCTAAAATCCACGCCCTCCAACAACGACTTGTAACATTCTGGTAGACTTTTTGCGAGTGAGATTTTTTTAATTATTTCCTTCGTAAAATTTCTAGTTTTAAACATTCCAACTAAACCCGTTAATATCACAAAGATATTTTTTAATGAATTAATTTTATGACGAAAAATTGGAATTTTAATAAATAATACTTTTATTACGTATATTAAATACTGATATTGTGTAACTCGATTTGTTATTGTGCAGAACACATTTCATGCTGTAACATAATATTGAATTTATGAAATATTTTTTTCATATTTTAAAAAAATTAGTAAAATGTTTCAAAATAATAATTTTTGACTTTTTTCTGTGTTTTGCATCACATGATTATGAATTTCAAGTTTCATAACATGATCTCACTTCCTCTCTAAGTTGTTATAATATCAACAGGAAAGTGTTAGCATAATTATTAATTTTAGAAATTGTTCTTAAATCACATCACACCTGTCAGTGTGATTCCAGACATTCCTACAGCCTCAGATTTATATGTGACACAATAAAAACATGCCCTGTTTATTAGTATAGGTGCCTTTTGTTTCCAGTGTGACCATATATGGTATAACAGTACCTGGGTTAAAGGTGGTATCCCCCATATGCCATGTGCTGTTGTGTCTTGACTCGTAATTTTATTGACAGTTTATCTATACAATAAAAGATTCAGTTATCTTGGGCTAGGTTTAACCCCCAACTTTGACATTAACTGCCAGTTCACTTTGCATGTCTAACTGAATTAGTTCGTCTAACTGGAATGCATGAATGGTGGGAATTATTGATAGTTTCATTGTTGATGCTATCTTTTTAATAATTTAATAATAAATCTTTCAACAGTGCCATTATTTTATGCATAATGTGCAGTGATAAGACATTGCTATTACTAGTGAATGACATTTCTGAGACTGAAACTGTTCTCAATTTGTTATTCTGAGATCACTGCTTGTACCATGAAATTTCCGCTATTTGCGAAAACATGTCTCCCGCAGTTGAAGCAGTTTACTGTTTTAATTTTTTTCCAATTTAGAAATTTTTTCAATTTGTCAGATGACCTTGGGTTGAGTGTATGCTCACCATAGTGGGGTCAGTACACAGGTAAAGGTCAGTAGTTATAAGGAACTCCTACTTTATAATGGGAACGTAGGGTTTTTTTTTGAATGAAAACTATTTTCTTTGTTGAGACGCAAGGGTGTGATGCAAAGTAAATAGCTTGCAGTGTAAAACAATTATTTTACTGTATAGCAGTGATGCCTTAATTCTAAAACCCCTCTGAACTATTGTAAAAAAATCTATAATTTTTTGGCTACTCGTGATTTTTAGCATAAAGCTGTCTTTATGATTCATCTTCATTGTTCCTGCAGTTGAATAACAAGCTGAGTTGACATTATGACGGCCTCCTCTGAGTCTTCATTACTCATCAAAAACCTATCATTTTTATTTGCAGTACAGTATTCAATCTATGTATCACCAAAATTTGGTTTTAATTTGTGACAAAAAATACTAACATTTCCAACAATGATTTATTTTTTTAATTAGAATAAGCCATCATCAAGACTTGATAATTATGTTACCAAATAAAAATGGGATAGAGTGATGTTTTTTTTTCTCTGCTTTTGAATGGGGTCAATAAAAGAGTATACGTAACAAAAATTGGAATTAAAATGGTTTCATTTTTGCTGATAGAGAAGTTGTAAAAAAAAAATGAAATAAAGTGAACCCTTCCGGGGTTGTAAGGGCGATGGTCTTTAACATCTGTTGTTCGTTATTAACATATTTAATGTTTATGTTTACGATTTATTATTAGAAATAAAATACAGTATTCTAGACTAAAATAAAATGTCTGGGTTTTGCTATGTTTTGGGTTTATAAAATAAAATAAAAAAAATGTGTTATGAATATTATCATTTTCTGGTCATCAGTAATTTATCTCATCCACTCAGTAGTTTCAGTTAAATTGTGGAGTAACAACACAACAAAGAAATTATGAGGCTGTTTTTAAATATGCCTGTAAATTGGCAGACAGTTTTCCAGTCATTACTTTCTAGAACATTCATGCTTTGAGACCACTTCCTGCATAGAAATGGAACAATAGCATACAAGTGTAGGCTAGACTATTTATAAATATCACAACGACTCTCAGCTCTCACAATTTAAATGATTAAATTCTAATAATTCAGAATACATTGCTTAGATCTGTTATTCAGTTCATATTCTGTTTTAATGTGCTTATTTTACTGACTACAAAATGTACCAAATTTAAACCAAGGGAACGTCTAATTAACATATAGATTTAATTAGTCTTTTGATGAAACTGAATTTAAAACCCAAATATTGAAATTTTGACTCTGAATACAAATCTTATTGTGTGCATTGGTGGAAACTTGGGGGGAGGGGGTAGTGTGAGGGGAAAAAATCTTCAGAGATGTATCCATTTGAAAAAAAAAAAGTTG